CTAACACGAGTCTCATTAAGTGTCCAGTTTAAGGGTATTACACAGAAACATACCAAGGGAACATGAATCAAATATGCACTTTTATTCATTTACAATAAACTCATAAAGTACATCATTCTGATTGAAGCTAAGGGCATACAAAACTGTCTAACAATTTTATTAGGATGATTGAATGAACAACATTACCAAATAGAGGGTTCTCGAAGTTGAGGCACAAGGTGCACCAGGCGTGCGCCTTTTGAAAAGGCTGCACCTAGGACCTGGGTGAGATGCCTACCCTAAAATGCACCTCGCCTGTGCGTCAAGCGTGCCTTTTAAATCACTAGGTTTAAGGCGAAGCAATTCTGAAATTGGAGGAAAATAAATATATATTTTCTTTGATGGATAGCTGAAAATTTTATTAGTAGTGGACATAAGTGTTATATATAATTAAATCCTATTAGAGAATATCAACCTATTCAAGGACCTCACCTAATATCTTAAGCTTTTAGGTTCAATGGTTCTTTGAGATGGTATCAGAGCCACTTTGGCCAAGTGGTCTAGTGTTTGATCCTCATTACCCCCATTATAATTAATTAAGTTTCAGCACAAGGTATGGGTGGGCCTGTACATGTTCACTCTTCTTTTGTTCCTCAATCAACCTAGCACAACTTGAGTCATTGTAGGCCTTGCAATACAACTGTTATCCCTACTCTAGTAGAGTCCCCATGTCCAATTGGTCTGGAGTACAAAGAAAGTATTGGGCCATTACTAAATAACCCCCACCCCTATACCATGGGGACCATAGATTATGCATACCCAAAGCAAGGATCAAATTATCGGGCATATTATATCCCTATCAGTGACCATGGAGATACATGGATACATTGATACACATGATTTTTGAAGTTTAAAACTTTTGGATGATAGAATGCATCCTCTATTGCTAATAAACTTAAAAAAAAATAAAAATAAAAAGGAGAGATGGTCATATTGATATGCACTGATACCACTTATTGGTATCAGGTGTATCAATATTTTGATCCTTGCCCATACCATTGCTACTGAAGTTTACTTAATCAGATATAGGTGCTAGTGATAGGAACACACATGAGAGGAGGAGAATAAAATTAATTTTTTTTGAAGAATCAAGAAAATATTTCATTAAAAGGAAAAAGAGTTACATCCTAACATCCTTGGGTGTCTAGATGACATAGCAAATACATTCTCAAAAGGATTCTACATTACAAGGCTGCAATTCAAGGGTATTCCAGAAAATTTTCAACAAATCAGCCTTGGAGACTTGGTCAAAATCTGGGAGTCTGAGAACCCATTCTGAGATCAGATTAGTCACTGCAGCTCCCCTCTCCTTTGGCTTGCACACCCCTTCTCCCACTTGACCAAATGATATTTTTTGGCTCCCCCACCCCTTCCCATAAGTCTCTTTGAATTTTCTCCACCTTCATAGCCACTACATTAGGGACTTTTAGCAAGGAAAGGTAATAAGTTGGTAAACTGGCCAAAACACTCTTTATAAGTGAGTCTCCCTCCCAACGGTAGGTACTTATCCTTCCATCTGTCCAATCTCTTTTCTACTCTTTCTAATAGAGGCTTCCAAATGATAGTTGCTGCTGTCTTTGACACCACCAGAAGCCCTAAATACATAAATGGAAGCTCTCCTATTCTGCACTCCAGCACCCCTGCAAACTGTTCCATCTCCCCCCTACTTATCTCTCCTACTCCTATCAGTAGACTCTTCTCTAGATTCACTTTCAGACCAGTCAGAATCTCAAAGTTAGCTAGAATCACTTGGAGATTCAAGACTTGGTTCACTGAGGCATCTAAGAAGATTAAGGTGTCATCAGCATACTGTAGGTGGGACATACAAGGACCAATGACTATAGATTAATTTAATACAATAATATAGGGGCAGTTTGGTAATTATAGCCAAGTAAAAAGAGTAAAATCAAAAGCCAATAAGGAAAATCAAGTTCTTAGTTTCTTTTGGTGTTTTAGGAAAGTTCAACACAAAAAGGGCCAAGAAGAACCTTCATAAGCCGCTTTCTCTTCCCAATGGAATTATTTCTTTTTTTGATCAGTGAATATTCAGATTTATTAAAACAAAGTCAAAGATAGTACAACTTAGGGAGAGGCACGGGATGCTACCTCCCCTTTAAAGAGGGGAGATGGAAGAAACCATCAACCCTTTAGTTAAAGAACATAACAAAAGAAAAAGAAAATTGCAATGAAGCCCAATACAATGAAACCCGAGTAGCCCCTTGTTTAGCAAGATAATCAGCCAAGGCATTAGCCGATTTACCCAGCCACTGAACTCTAACTGTCATACCCCTCAATAGCCATTTAACCTTTTTTAAAATATCCTTAAAGTTCAAAGTAACAGTACCGGGGTCAGCCAACCATCCTACTACCACCTTGGAGTTTCCTTCAATTATTA